CCAAAGCATCATTCCCATGGCAGATCCCTCACTTACCGAATTTAGCAATATAGCAGTATTCAGCTTTCAGTTTGGGCATCTCTGTGGCAACAAACTTTTGGAAAAGAAAATACTGTATGTACACTGCTGAATATCCCTAAAAAAAAAAATTGTAGTTGTGCCAGGGAAACATGTCTAGACAAAATATTGCACCTTGGCTACCTTCTCTGAGATGTCTTTAAAGCAGTCCTTGGCAGTATTGATTTTTTTCTTTTTTTTTTCCTAATTTGTGATTCGCTTTGGTTCCAGTATAATGGGCCATAGATTTCTTCAGACAGCAGTGACACCGGGGCTCCTGTTTGCTGTCTTATTTCTCCACTCTCTTCTTAATGCCTCAGACAATTCAAAGGCACGATGTCATAGCAGAAGAGATGAGTTGCTCCTCTGCCACAAGGAAATATTAGTCCTCCCTGGAAATCCTTTGAGGCTTTGGAGAAACTTGTCCAGTAATTCATTGTTTCGAGACAGTCTGGTCCCAGCACACAATGCTGGTCAGTGGAAATGGTACCAGGCTCTTCACAAACCCTCCTGAGATATACCAGCTCCTGGCCTTGCTCACAGAGGACTGGTTGTAGGGGACAGTAAGTGTTTTGAGCCACAGCTGATGTATCAGGAAAAAGGTTGTCAAAAGTATCGAGCTGTGAGCAATACAAACATCGTTGATTCTTGAGGAATACACTTCTAAGTAATTCTGGCACTTGGAGAAAAACTCATTATCAGCCTGAACTGGAAAGAAAACATTTTAAAGGTGCAATTTGCAGTACTTGGGTGTCACTTTGTGTTAGACTAACAGTGCCAATAAAATTAAAAAGCTCCATTCTTACTTTGAATTTATATATTATTGCCTAATAATTGCAACATAGAATGAACTCATTTCCTTCGGACAAGATGACTCTGATAGGGTCACTTCATTCTGATAAGGTCAAAATACTTTATCTTCTGCGAGACATTCATGCTTTAGAAAGCTTTTGACAAAGCAGTGTTTTCCCCTGCATAGGAACTGAATCAGAAAGTTTTTGGCCAGCTTTGACAACTAAAAGCAAGCCAGGATCCGACTTTTAAAATCCAAATGCCTTAATAGAGGGAGATCTCTCTCTTGTTAAATGCATCACTAAATCGAATTTACTGAACAATACATCCCACTGACAACCTCAACATGAGCCAGTGCAGCTTTCCAGAACTCCTCTGTAGACCTGAGCTACCTTTGCCCAATAATGCAGATTTGCAAAATCACAGAAAAGTTTCAGCTGGAAGGAACCCCGGAGATCACCTTGGCCAACCTTGTGTTGAAAGAAAAGCCTTAGATGAGGTTATCCATGGCCCTGTCAAGCCAAGTCTTGAGTATCTACAGCCAGGCAGATTCCACTGCTTGTCTAGGCAGCTTATCCCAGTGTCCAAGTGGTCTCATAGTGAAGAAATTGTTTCTAAAATCCACATAGAAATACCCTGAAGCAACTGGTACCTCTTGCCCCTCGTTCTGTCTCCATGCATCCTTGTGAAGAGAACGACTGCCTCCATCTTCTCCCTCCTTTAGGAGATTTATGGAAAATCTGGCTAAGAGGAGTTTCACATAGGTAAAAGGAGATAAAAAGAAGACTTGCTCCACAAAGTCTATTGCATTTTCGCTGCCTGTAACATTCAGGACTCATGGTGACAAAAGCTCAGAAGTACACAGACATATTTACAGGCGCAGAAGGATTAACGGCCTTTGCAAGCACAAATTGTTGGAGGCTTCATTACAACAAATTTATTACATTTACTGTGAAAAAAAAAAAATCGATGAAATATTTTTGTAATAATTAGATCAAATTATGCAGATACAGAACTTCCTGATTACAGAATGGACAGATGACCTTTCAAAACCAGGTGTTGGTTGGCTTTTTTTTTTTTCCCCTTCTATGGCTTTTTTTTTTCCTTCTATGAATAGCAAATTTTTTGCCTCATCTTTTCCCTCGAGTATGTTACACTACTTAGAAAAATCCAAATGAAACTAAATCATATGAAAGTTTCCAGAAGGTTTGCTAAAGGATTTGTCTTCTAACAGTTCTTTACCTTTCCTTAACAACAACAATCACACACTGATTCGAGCAGCCACTCTCTGCACATTCTTGATATGTCCTGGACTAGAGAGTCTCCAAAACTTGCCGCTCAGGATCTCCGTGACATGAGCTCTTCCATCACAGACTTGGAGGACAGGAGGAAACCTTATAACCAGCTCATTTGACCACAGGATTTTGCTCACTGTTGAGCCATGAGGGATCACGGTTGCTCTAACTGGGGGAAGGTAAATGGGAGCACTGGATATGGAGCTTCTATGGAAGACACTTTTATTATTAAAAAGTATTTCACTCTAACTGAAGTTTCTCTATCCTGATCAAGACAACTCTTAACCATCTCTTGGTTCAATTAATTACATTGAGATCACTTTTTTTCCCTAAAAAAATCTTTTTAGGTCTCTAGACCTCAAGGTTTTGTGGTGCTCTTTTCTCAAGGGCTAGACATGGAAATTAATAGATTCTGCCCACAGATTTGCTCATGTTACTTCCAGAAATAAAAAAGTAAACTTACTTGTCTTTTGACAAATTTGAAACTCAGAACACAGTTCAACTCTCACTTTTGTAAAAGCATAACAAAACAGATATTGAATGACATGAAATCAACACAAAAAGTAACAGAACAGAAGCTACATTCTTATCTGATGTATATAGCCCATGCTACTTGCTAGATTATAGCAAAAAAGTGGGGGAAAAAAACAAAGCAGGCAATATGAACTTGTTTATGGACTTGAACCATAACAAACCTGGTTTCTACATCTGTATTTTCTCATATATTACACAGAGTTGGTTTGAATCAATACTTAAACGAGGGACCAGAAGCAATTAGGTGCTGCAGGAAATTGATTATACACAGAACATGATCCTCATTATCCACATCAATATAAATTCATTTCCTGACATAATGCTACTCTTCATCATCACTCCTGTTATTAATGACACTTTATTTTTAGATGAGATAGGAATTCAAATTCCTAACCCCTTCTTTTCATGAAAGACCCAAAGGTAGGCATGGCAATACAGAGTATTTCCCCTTGGGACAAATTTCAATGCCAGATTTTATTTTCTGCTGCCTAGTTTCCTCTTGCAGCTCCACACACAAGAGGATGTTCTTCTCCCCCAGAAACGGAGTGCTTCTGTCCCCTGCTCTAGAGCCAGTGTTTTCATAGAAGGAAATTAGTCAGCAGGCACTGAAGAAGAAAGTCTTCAGATAGCAGAAAAGAATAAAAACTTAATCCAGGGATTACACTACAAAATTAAGAAAAATACCATAATATATTTCAGCCAACGTTTGTGAAATTGTGGTCTATCTCCAAAGTGAAAATCAAAGTGTTTGAGAGCTAAACTGAAAATGAACAAAGGAAAAGAAAAATCTATTAAAAAAAAAAAAGGTAACCAAATAAATTTACATTATTTAATAGCACTTTTCCATCAGGTTTCTGAGTGTTAATGTAGCTATTTTAAAAAGATACCAAAGTAGTAAAGATGCATTTAAATTAATTTCAATGCTAGCAGAGCAAGATTCAAGATTTTCCAATACTCTTTAAGAGAATCTTAAAACCAGACGGGTGTCATTAAGAATATTGTGGTTTCTGTCAGACAGAAGCTACCATTGCTGCTAATAATAATACATGTCGTGGGGAAAGGGAATTGTTATTGTTTAGTGGGAATTTTTCAATCAGATAATTCTTAGTTGGAAAACACCAGTTTTTAACAGGCACTTTTTTAGAAAGTCTCTTGGGATTGGAACGGGATTTCTGGTCAAAGTAGAAAGAGATGAAAAGAAACCAAAGAATAGTTTGGTGTCTGGAGCGCTTTTACAGCATGTGGTGAAGACCAGGTTCAATAACCCTTTTCTGGCTAACCTGCAACAGTAATGTGACCATAAAGTTCCCATTTCTGTCTCAAGCACTCGCTATTTTGCTGAGCCTTCCTTCTGTTTTCAAGTAAAAAAACCCACCTACTTTTATACTCTTTCCATGATGACTCTCTTTCCAGCTATTTTTTTTTTTTTACCTGTCCTATACAAATGGTCCTCCAATCCCTCCAGCATGAATGAGAAACTTCACTAACTAAAGGATATAGCCTGACTAAATAAAAAGAGAATATATTTTATGTCTGCACTATGAACACTTTAAACCATTTTCCAGCAACTAGTGTCCCACCCCACAAACACCAAAGATTATACATATGTTTATGCAAATAACTCATGTTATTCATGAGCAGACATTTTATAAGACAGAGGCAAAAGTATTACTCCTGAAAGAATTGCTTTGTAATATAGGATCCACGATAAGGTCAAAAGGAAGCATTTCTGGACGTGTTCCATCACTTGATGTTCAGGAAACCATTTTGTATGACACAAAGGATTAGGAAAAATAAGCTGCATGACATTTATTTTGTAATTTTAACATTAATATCTGTAGAAACATTTTATTGTCAGTACAAAAGTTAACAGATTTTAATAATTTTTATCCAATTTAAAAAAAAAAAAAAAAGAAAAAACCACACACACCACCACATAAAACAGTGTAATTTGCATTCATATCACATGGCCATATCAGTGTGAGTGTTCTGAAAGTAAAAACACAAGACTTCCATAAAAAGATACAAACAACAGTGATATTTTAGCAGAGGCCAGTGCTATGCCTACTGCTATGGAATGGATCAGAAGGAAATACTGGAGTCAGCATGAACTAATCCCTTAAAAAGATGCTGATATTCCTATGGCAAATTGTCATTATAAACAACTTCTCTCTTTTTAACTCAAGTTACAATAGAGGGATAGTCTAGAAGGCAAAAGGCCAAAAGATCTGGAACCTATTATCCAACTCAGGGAAAAGAATCATAGTTAATGTGATGCATGTGCAACTCAGGGTAGAAGCTCAGCTCCTTTTAGAGCAGTACGTTCTGATATGGTTATAGACAAATTCATGTCTTTCCTTATTTTAAGAACTCTCAAAAATTTTCTTTTTTTTTCTTTTTTGTGTGTGTGTGTGTAATGATTCTGCTTTTTGGCCATGGGAAACATTGCTGAAGACTTAAATTGTTAGAGAGACAGGTATTGAGAATAAAAGACTTTCTTGTTAAAGGATTTTGTTTTGATAAGAATAATCATCTGACACTGCAGTTTTTAAACACAAATAAATCAAAAGTTTAATTCCCCAAAATTAGTTATATACTGTAAATATTTCTTTTTTTAAAGATCTGAAAACTAGTAAAGTCTGAGCAATATATCTACTAGTTCTCTGTGCTGCCTGCATAGAAATGCCATTTAAATTACAAAAACACAACAACCCTATAAACGATTAACTGTTTTGTACATTACCAATTAGTTAATAAATTAATGATATACCATTTTCCCTGAAAGCAAAGTATTTTCCACCTTTGGATGGTGAAAATTAAGAAATTCTGTGTAAGAACAGCATTTAGCAAATAGCTGTTAAAAAAGAGACTAATTTGCTAGGTGGATTGGGACATCCATTTTTAAATCAATACAAAAAATAATTCATTGTAAATATATATAATATATATTTATACATATTTTGAATATATTTACATACATCCAGCACCTATATACTGCATTTGTGCTCTGTAAGTGTGTGCCAACATATATTTTCTCCAAATATTACAAAATAAACAAGAAAGGCAGACCCAGAGTTTGCCTCAAGTCCAACTGGTCCATTGTACAAACAAAGTGTGTTGCAGCTTACAGGAAGCCAGAAAATTGATAGCGATGGGTATCTAGACTCAGCTCATAAACATTCTTCTTTGCTGGGAACAGTTACAAGTTGCACATTATGAGATTCTTTATGTAGGTTCTGACTGCTTTCCTCCAAGTTTTCTTTTTTTTTTTTTTCCTTTTTCTTTTTCCATATTTCATATGTACAAGCAGAAACATTAAGGTCCTGGAGAAAAGATTTTTTTTTTGTATATGGTAGGTAGCTTGATGTTCTTGTTTCTTTATTCCTCTGTACGATTTCTTTTCATGTTTTAACACTTCCATTCATGTGTTGGTACTTGGGAAGACAAGGTTCATAAGGCATTGGATCGGGAGAAAAAACAGAGTCATCACCTGAAGAACACGAACTCCTCGTGTCAGGGTAACTAGGTGAATACTGTTCGAGAGGTCCACTGAGGTCCAGATACTCCTATGATGAAAGAAATAAATCACATTTTTAGACTGTGAGTAAAACTGACAATAACACGTTACCACTGCTCTACTTTGCCTTGATTATACAGTGGGTAAAGAAGAGTTTAAAAATGACACTCATTTCTGTAATGCAATTGCATTCAAAACTGCCCGTTGCTTAAATACCTCATAAAACAAGGAGCTGGAATAGAGAAAAGAAAAAACAAACCAATAACATGGTACTTTTCTGAAGTCCAACATCACCAGCATCAGCCGCGTCAGTGGAAATAAACATGCCAACCACATCAAAAGACGACTTTTCACTCGCAATGATAAAAATGAAAATTCATCCTAAATAGAACCATTTTTCTTTAGCACATGGTAATGATTTGGAGAGGGAAAGACACTTCCAACTTTATATTCCTTTGGTCAGCTTGAATATCTGTTTTATATTCTGTGATATTAAATTTGTGTTTAAACATGCAGTGGCATACGTGCAAAAAAGAACTGAAAGGAAAACAAAATTAAACTCACTAGATTTGGGTTTTTTACCCTACACATTCATATGTGTGTGCGCGTGTGTGTGTGTCCCCCAGAGTAGCCATGACCAAAGCAGTCATTAAAAAAGGAAATAGTATCTGCTGAATCCAAGTTTTGGGTTAAGGCTCTTTTGCTAGAAACAACAGTTTTGGCAGGAGAATAAAGTTATTTTTCCCCTTGAAATGTTCCTTCTCTTTCAACTTCTAAAGGCAGCTGCATCCATTTAAATGCAATCTCTTCATTTGCTAAACCACAAGTTATGATCGTACTGATGAGACAAGTCTTCCACCTCAGTCAGTATTTTATGCTGCTGTGCTTAGAAATGGGGTAATTTAGTTCTTGGTTAACATATTTTAAGTAAAAAATTCAATCATTACCATACTATAGTTTAAAAATGGTCACCATTTTAAAAGAGAAGGGGAATGTAAGTTTTAAAATGCTGACAAATACAATAGGTAGCAAGAGAAGGCAGTTTGGATCCAGTCCTAGGTGACCAGAAATAATCAAGCACTTACTAGACAGACAGAAGAAAGTATTCCAGTATTTGAAGAAACAGGGCTTTCTCATGGGATATCAGGCACAGCTCATCATATCAAAAGGCTTGATGTAATTCAGTTATGATTTCAGTATTGAAAGTGGGATCCTTATCTACTCTCCAGCCTCCTTATCCAATGTCAAGGGCCAGAGTCACATACAGGCTCATACGGAGTTTCCAGTATCAGAATGGTTCCTGGTGTTGATATAACCACACAGCCATGAGGCTGACTGTTGGTGACTCCTGCTCATGCAGATTAGCGTGCAATGTTTCCCACCCTGGGAAATACGGGGAATAGGGTCTTTTTGGGGAAAAAAAAAACAACCAAAAAAACCCCCAAAACCCAAAACTGACAAAATACCCAACAGGTGATGATTCCGCATGGAGAAGAACAAGACATGACCATTTAAGCAGAAATAATTACTTGCACAAATGCAGAAGAAGATATTATTGGTTGCCCTGGCAATTTTTTTGAGTTGTTGGGTAAACCAGGCTGACCCTGTATCAACATGGCCATTCCAGAGGGAAAGGGAAAGTCGCCACTGTGGAGAGGACAAGCAGAAGTACTGTCAGACTGATGCACGAAGGACTGGCGCTTCAGGAAAACCGTGCAGATTACACAAAATCTGAGGTTTCAAAAGCACAAGCTATGGAGGAAAATGGGACACACCAGAATTCTCAGGAGACATGGAGTGAGAACACGACGACTTTTCAGCAACACAAAACGTGCTGCAAAGACAAGTGAAATAATTTGCTTTCTATGTCCAGGGTAAATAGGACAAAAGCAATACCTTATGTTGAAAGATAGGAGATTAGGAAAAACTTTCAAGAAGTAAGAATAATGAAACAAAGCAATAGACTGTCAAGGGGCGACGCGGAAATGGAGCAGTGGAGATCTTTAAGGACACGTTACGTAAACATCTGTCAGGAATGACAAACGTATAGTGGATCCTGCCGTAGGCCGATCAGATGGAATGGATGTGTTCCTGAGCTTTTTCCAGCCGTTTTTCCTATGATTCTAGTCTAAAGTAATTTACATAACCCTAAAGGCCTTTTCAGGTTACCTTTGAGATCATTCCAGGTCCATGAGCAGTACAGAATTGGGAAGGCAAGATGGTTAAACACACACACAAAAGAAAGCAATATCCTTTCCCAGGCTCCGAATTGCAGCCCAGAACCTCCCTCTTGAATTTGCAAATGCATATCCAGTCCAAGCCGCCCGGCACTCCGCAGCGGCAGCCGGCCCACCTCCGGTCTTGTGAAATCATATATAAATTAGGCAGGAAAAGATGCAGCCAGGACGGGATGAGGGGAAAACGGTAACGGTAGGCAGAGCGGCGTTACCGACTCGTGTTCCTGCCTCCTCCCTGAGCCATTCCCGAAGGTGCCACTTCGAGTAAACCTTACGAAACAGAATCCAGATAAATTTATAGCTGCTACTGAAGCCAAAATCTTTTCCAACTGGGTCTACTGGGCAAATGATGATCATAAAAAATGGCATCTCTGCTCAGGTTCTCCTGTCGTGTCTGTTGCATACAGCCTTTCCTATCGCTGCTTAATAATCCATTTTTTATTTCTGTGACAACTCTGACAAATTAGAAAGTCATGTTGAGGACCAATATAAAGCAATCCAAATCCTTTTTTTCTACCTTCCCTCCCCAGTTATAAAGTGCTATAATCACAGCAAATTTGAAAAATATATTTTGAAATGGTCAAAACAAATTTTTGCAACTTTTCCTTATACATATCAATTCTCAGAAATGACAGAAATTCGTAAAATATTTCTGGGACACCAAGCATTTTCTCTCAAGTTTTCGCCAAAAGAACCAACATTTCCATCACTTGTGATCTTCCTCAAAGGTGCGTGTGATTTAGTGATAAGAGAACCGATTCCTGTGTGAATACCCTCATCAGTGTGTTCCTTGCTAAAACTAATAATTATACATATCAATTCTCAGAAATGACAGAAATTCGTAAAATATTTCTGGGACACCAAGCATTTTCTCTCAAGTTTTCGCCAAAAGAACCAACATTTCCATCACTTGTGATCTTCCTCAAAGGTGCGTGTGATTTAGTGATAAGAGAACCGATTCCTGTGTGAATACCCTCATCAGTGTGTTCCTTGCTAAAACTAATAATGTCTCAGACCTCTGAAACAATGCTCTTCAAATAAAACCTTTTTGCATTCATATATCCCAACCTGAAGTAGTGTTAGGCAGGACCTTTGGATAATTGGATGGCTGCTCGCACGTTCCCCGTGGGTCCTCGTTCCCTCCACAGAGAGCTATTGCAGTGAACCTAATTCACTCTCAGACATATAATCTGAAATCTACCATCGACAATTTCTCCTCTTCTGACCTAGATATCATGGCAGGGAATCAAACCGAGTCGATAAATGAAAAACCCCATGAACTCTACATCTCTCCTTCACAGGAAATTCATGTTGAAACATAAACATTGCCTCTCGACCTGCCGCATGTAGTCCCTCCATACTGCTATGCTAAAAACATCAAGAGATGCCATGAGAAATAAACAAAAACTTTAAAGATGTGTTTCTGTTTAGTTACATAAGTCAAGGCATAATGGCAAGAACCCGAGAATTTCATAGGACACATAGTTTAGCTGCGTGTAACCTCAGAGGACAACGACAAACAGAACAAGAAGAGGAGTTGAGCAGGATTTCATAATTGAATAAATTCCATCTGTCTCCTGAACCATTTGTCCTGACCAGCAGCTTATGGAGGGAAACAATTTACCTACCTCATTAGTTGTGAGAGTGAGAATCCGATCCAAGTCTTCTACCAACTGTTTAAAAGTCGGTCTCTGTGAAGGCACAGCATGCCAGCAGTCTCTCATCATCATATAGCTGCAAAGAAGACATATTTTCTTGGCTTAATTAAAATCACGAATCTTTCTCGTAAACCTTTTCATACGCAGTCAATGTTCTTCACAAGTAACGCAGTGAGCAGCTACAGCCCTACACATGGGCCACTCACCTGACTTTCCCCAACTTGTGCAATACTCCCTTCCCTCAAAAGTGCATTTTTACTCCTCTGTTCCTCTTGCCCGGTGTCTAAATTATCTTTTTGTGGGCCTGATTCTCTCCCAGGAATTTCAACGGTATTAAATTACACACGCTAAAATATTTTTGCATGTTAGGGATTGTGGTCTTTGTGAAGTGAAGAAATGAAAATGGAAAAAAAAAAAAAAAGTTAAAAATCATTAAAGGATATACTGAAACACCAGAAAGGGCAAAATCTCTCCCCTCTCCTCACGAGGAGATAATGCTGTGTTAATGAGGAAATTCCCAGAGGTACTTTGTTGTGCACAAAACCAGTCTGATGTACCTTACATATGATTAGTGGTATGTGTGCCATTTAGGAATTTTCATGTTAATGAGATCAAAATAAAGCAAATCTGGGTGTAAAAACACTGACAAAGGCTGGCTTGTAGATGAGCTCTTCTTTTTTCAACGGGATCACAGCAGGGTGTGTGAAGTAGCATCCTCTGTCAAACATTTCCTCAAGACCTTTTCATACCTTTTCTTTACATATCTATACGCCCACATATATCCACAATTTTAGAGTCAAGCAACTCTGAAAACCTTTGATTCTGCCAGGGGTAGCATTAACCACGTGAATTCAGTACAGTTTGTGCCCTTCCATCCTGGTACAGCAAATAAGGGTCCTTACAGTTCATTGGTGCAGTTGGCAGGTTTATCCATTCGGTGCCCTTCTTTAAGCAGCTTAAAAAGTTCCTCCACTGGGATTCCTGGGTAGGGCGACCCTCCTAACGTGAAGATCTCCCACATTAACACGCCAAAGGACCAACTGCAAATCAAAGAGAAAACCACATTAGTAACTGCTGAAAACAGAGATGTCTCTGCAGCTGATGTGATGATTGCCAGTCCCTCTTGGGAGATGCTTAAATCAGCATCTGCCCAACTCTGACCGCCCTGAGCGTGACATCAATCCGTGAAATCCATCAGACGGATGGGACGTATATAGAATAGGGACTGACCTGAGCATGTTCTCAAACACGCTCTTGCACTTTGTCTGGTGTGCTCCAAGCACCCAAGTTTCCAGAGCTACTGCAAAGAGCTGCATCTTCCCAGCTTAATTATTTACAGAACACTAACGGCTGAGCTGGTTTGCAATTCTGCGGTGAGAGGTTTTGGGAAAAGCAGGCTGTTCAAAAACAAAAATATTTTGCATCATTCTGCTTTTTTAAAATTCATTAGTTTTTGTTACGAAATGAAGGAGGATGATTTTTAAGCCAGTTTTCCTGCCTACTTGCCACCTCCTCCAGAGCCTGCCTCATCACGTCTTGCTGGCAACCTCGGGCTCTTTGGCAGGCAGCTTTGCCAGGTGAGCAGCAGCACACAGCTTGCACTGGCTCCCGAGCTTCTCTGCAGCTCTCCCAGCTTTGCAGCAGTGTATTTTAGTGGACTGTTTGCACAAACTTACAATAATATTATCTTTAGCCATCTTCTAAGGCACCATGGGGCCAAGAATCTCCAAGTTCCAGCACTGAAATCCTCATGCTCCGTGACTGCTGAGGAGCTCAGACTGACTTTCAGTTCTGAACCACTGAAGTAGTTTACTTCACATTCGCTTAAATATTTTGCCAAGATGTTATTTTAAAACAAAAGTTTGATCCTCCCTTAACCTGTGTATATACTTTTCTTTATAAATAACGTAAAAATTGCAGGAAAAGTAAATGCTTTTCTCAAGGAGAGGGCAGCTCAGGAAGTGCACCCAGCTTGAAGAAAGAGGAAATGCCTCTTATTTTCTCCACCCTGCCCTTTTTCTTTTTAACCCTGCACTGACATGCATAACCTTTTACACCTGTGCTGGGAAGCATCCAGCCCTTTACAGTTAACAGCTTCTCTTGGAGAAATAAAACCCATAAGATACTCATCTGCATTGCATAAAAAAAATACACGTCTACTTAAAGCACAATGCACGCGAGCACTGTAGATGGGCCTAGGAAACTGTAATAGGAAGTAGAATAAATCCTGAGCAGTTGCATCAGCCAGCTACTCTGTGCACACATTAAAAGATTTTGAAGTGTCAGAGTTCAATGATTTCGTATTACACGTCAAGTACTGCTGGGAAGCAACAAGACTTCCAAAAATCAGAGAAATCTTTTCCAGTATATCCAGACTATGTTTTACTATATCTAATCTTAGCACAGATTTTTATAAGTTTTCAGGAATTTTCTTTTCTTTCTTTCTTTTCTTTCTTTTTAAACCTGAAGGAAGTCCAGAGTGTGTCAAAAGCCAAGCAAATTAGATAGACTCTTTGTAGCTGCACATCCGTAAATAAGTTCAAGGGGGGAAACTTCCGCACTGACAGAAGGAGGTTAGCGTTTTCCACCTTTCATGTGCTTTGAAGCTGGGCAGATTAGTAACAGAGCACTGGTTAGCAGTCTACCATAAAATCCTCACTTTCTAAGGGCAAGTCCTGTTCCATCTATTAATATGTGAAACAGAACGAAAATGCTTAAAGGTAAAGGACAAAAGGAAAAAATACATTTTAAAATTTCGTTTTCAAACTTTAACAAATACAAACCAAAACAACCTTCATTCCCGCTCCCTCCGAATTCAAATAAGGCCACTTACACGTCACTTTGATGCGTGTAAACTCTGTCAAACAGAGCTTCTGGAGCCATCCACTTTACTGGAAGTCGTCCCTGTAAGTTTGGAGGGGAAGAGAAGAGCAATTAAAACGGTAGCAATTTACAGGATGACTTCAACACCAGTTTTTTTTTAAATATTAATCAATTCTCAAAGAACAGTCTGCTAATGCAAACCAACACATAATTTACCTTTAAGATTTTCAGGGAAAAAAATAGTAAAATGAGCTAAAGTAGAGAGACCGTTAAGAAAAATGGATATAAACATTTGAAGATAAAATTAAAAGCATTGAGGGCTCCCAGAAAGTTCCCAGACTACTTGCTGGGAGAACAACAGGATAAGCAGATCAAAATTAAAAAGATCATTCCAGTATGGCTCTTTAAAGACAAAAAAAAACCCAATTCATAATCCCCTGAAAAATAGGCCTGCCTGAAAAAAAAAGTTGATCACTAAACCCAAGAATTTTGTTTTCCTGTTCCACCTTTTGCAGAGACCCAAAGCTCCCACAGTCGCAACTGCCTGTTGCTTTGCACACAAGGTCTGCTCCTCTCAGAGCCTGGAATTACACTAATTTTGGTAAGAAGTAGATTCAGTTTCCTCCAGTACTGACGTACCCACTCCTGTCGCGCTGTCTTTTGGAAGTAGGCAGATATTTCCATTAAAATGACATTAATCACTTAGCACTTTTTTTTCCATAGATAAGCCACTTAACATGATTGTTAATTAATACTTAGACAAAATATTAAAGTCTCTAGAACAGAACAAGTTCCACGAAGTTCCCATCAAAACCCAAGTGTATTGTCAGGATCTTAAGAGATCCCCTGGGAAGGAGGTGTAAACTGTTCAAATCAGGGATCTGTAACTACAGCTGAAATGTTATGTCTTCTTGATTTGGTATAGGTTAAACAGCAAAAGGGTGACAGAGTGGGGAGTTTAAAAAAAAAAAAATCAATTTTCTCAACCTCGAGATGCACTTTGATACTACCATCATAACTTGTACATAAGAAGCTAAGTACAGGCAAAAGGCATAAGGCTGTATGCGGCATTACCACACATACACAGGATTTTTAGGATGGTTATTGCTAGTACTGTTTATACAGTGTATTTCAAGATCCGAGGCTTGATACAAAATAAGCTGGAATCAAAAGGAATATTTCCACTTGTCAAGTGATTGGAGTCAGGGACAGACAAAAAATAATTCTTGTATTTTCGCATCTCTAATAAATCATACAATATACAGCCTCTTCAGTTATCTTTTCAACTAACTGTCACTGTAAGAGTTCTGCCTGCAATGAAATGAGAGGCTGCTGTACAAGAAGCCCATTAATTTTAGAACCATAGTTTTGAAGTAAATCCTTGAAAGAAACACTTGTTTCCAGAGATAAGAAAAGCATCCACTTACATTAGTAGTCTTTTTATAATAATCTATATTGTTGATGTCTCTGGCTAAACCAAAGTCTGCTATTTTCATGACGTTATTTTCAGTTACCAAAACATTTCTTGCAGCCAAGTCTCGATGGATACACTGGAAAGAAAAGATGAAAAGAAAATAAGGCCCACTGAGATAAACTGTTGTAAAAGTGAAATTACTTCTACACCGTAACTAAGCCTCCTTTACAGATTTTAACCTAAATCACAAGGTGGGAAAGCCAAACGTCTACTACAAGCCTGTGAAACATAATTATCTAATTACCGTCACCCATCCCCTCGGTGCTGGTGTTTCCCAGTTGAACAAGGGCCCTAAGAAGCCTTTTAGAAAAGCCTGGTTTATTTAAGACTGATATTTTGCTAAGGCTGAAAGCTCGGGTGGTGACCCAAACTGTGCCAAGCTGTTTGTGATTCACTGTTACACGTGCCCAGGCACAGGTATTGCAGCGCTCTCATTGTAAATGCTGTTAATGAGCATTTTATTAAGCTGCTGCTCTTAAATGATATCATTCCACCAGAGCTAAAACCTGACAGTCTGGATCAGTGCAACCATTTTTAACATAAAAGATCTTAATATAAGATACATCCACAGTAGATAATTTTAAACTAGATGTCTATAGTGTGTGTATTTACTTCAACCATGAGACCATAACAATTTAATTTACCAAACAAACCCCCAAAACTGATCCGTTTTTTGGTTTAAAAGGCTGTTCGCCTTTCAAATAGCTTCGATAATGAAACCAAAAACGTTATCTCCTCCAGGATTTTTCCTTCATGTCAGCATTATCTTGAAAACTTGCAACTCATTCGCGATCCTAAAAGGATGTTGTGACTGCTCTGGATATTATTCTTTTGTTTATGCAGCCTTACTAAGGTTGATACAAGGTGGTAGCAGAGGCATGGTAAGAAACACTGTGTTTGGAATCCCCCCAGGATATCCAACTTCTTTTCAAGTTAAATATCCTTTCCCCTGCATCAATCTTGGATTACTCTTTATGTTGTCCTCCTTATTTCAGTATGTGCATAGACACGCTGGACTGACCCGCTACAAAAAATACTGTACAACAGCCAATTTCTTTCTTGCACTATAACTTGCCCCAGCAATTTTCTAAGATCTCTTATCCTGCCTGGGTAAAGTGAGCCTACAAAGCTTCTGCTCCTCCCTGGGTTAGCCATGGGGAACCACCAGGAAAAACCTGCTCCAGCAATGCCTTCATGCGCCCAGGGCCAGACAACAGCGCATGCTTGCAGCATCAAATCAGTCTTCTAATTCAGCTTCAGCAGAGACAACACAGGCCAGCCTTCCAACTTCCCTGTCCCTATTCTCAAACCCTACAAGAACATCCCCTGAGACACTAGGAACTCAATTCGACCACGCAAATACAAGCACATAACTCCATCTGAGATGCCCTAGGATATATCCACGGTATCTTGATGAGACTACCACGGACGACACAGGATCTACAGCAGACCCATGCCTTTCCAGAGCACCAGGCTGGGGGTACCACAGAGCATCTCAAACAGCATGTAACATCTCTGAGTGAATACACCAAATGATTCAAACCCTAGTATCTTCTCCAAAATGGTGCCAATTACTGATCTCCATATTTGCCAGGTTTCATTGCCGACCCTCAGGCCCTAATGATTTGCTGTCTCTTTGCAATGACCTGGGACAGCCCCTGTATCTGGAGCTCCACTGCGGTTCTTGTGCAGCACTGGAAGGTCGGAGAGGACACGTCAACAGAATTTTTAAAAACATCCATCCAGCTCAGAAACAACAGCCCATTTCCAATGTACAATTGCTTGTAAGGCAAAAATTTTTTGTAAGGCAAAAAGTAGGTGCCCAAAAATCTTTACGTATTTCTTTTTCTAATTTTTTTTTTCCTTCCTTTTTCAGGTCTCAGCGAGCCATTTATGGGATTGAAATAACAAGAACACTGGCCTTCTCACAATTCCTGCATGATGAAAATACCGTGAGAAGACCAGCTCTCGTTATTTTCCTAAGGGGAAAAGAACTAGTGAAATACAAACAGAAATGGTGGGATATCTGAAGAACCGGAATGCACAGTTTTACTATGTGCTGCCTTTGTTTTCCCTCTGCCTTATGCAATGCCTCACTTTCCCTCAAGTTCGGCGCAGTGACCGAGTGCTTTCGCAAAGGAACTGGATCAAGGATGAAACGGCTCTGCCGTGGGCATCTGTGCGAGCGCACACCTTCTTGGCAGTGTCCTACAACAGCACATCAGAGCTGCTCAGGCGGACGCTTGTTCTCAAGATTTGCCAATCAAAAGACTTATTTTTTCCTTTCACAACTGTTCTGTTTTCCTGGGACATGGCCCGTTGCCAGGCAAATGCTTCGCTAATCTTAGAAAGACATATCCTAAGGTTCTTCACCCTAATACAATACTCATGCTTACTGCATTACAAGATTTTGTCTTGGTGTCAAGCATGTCTACCCTACTACGCTAAGAATTACTGTTTCAAATCAGAAGAATAAAAGCAAAATTAGAGCTAGATTGCCTCTTCCCCCCAATCTCTACAAGTGCAGAAAAGCAATGGAAAAATCGTGACTCCACGCAACAGGACTGGAGGTTTACACTCAGCTCTGGTCTTTGGTTAAAAACAGCTCCATACTTGGGATTGGACATGACTGGAAATGGGTAAAAATCCCACTAACCACTCCACATCTTGCAGGAAGTACTTGTCATCAATATCTGATGCTCTGGTTTAGACATCGGGTCCCAAACACCACCCACGGTATTCTTGACTGCCTGTCCACCAAGCCACAACATGTTTACAGAGTTAGTTATACACGGCTATTTACGGTTTCATGATTATAATTTGATCAAATTACTGGTTGAAAAAAAAAAAAAGGGAAAAAAACCCACATTTGAAGAAAATTTGAAGAAATAAGTGTCTAGGGACATGACAGGATAAATAAATTCTTTCAACAAGCCGGCTCTCCTGGCAGACTCCAGTTTTAAGTAAAGCACATAATTTAAGTGACTAATTCATTCTATTTATTTTTGCCTCTTCTGTTCATGATTTTTGCCCTGGCATCTTGTAATCCTCTCAACTCTGCCTGTTATCATTCTGTAAATCCTTTCACTAACTGAATTCATTCATTTTGCACCACTACATCAGCTGATTTGGTCGATTTGACTGGAAACAGAAGGCAAACAGTGCCTGCTGTCTCACGGGTGGAGTAACATGACCACCTGTGCTTATGAATTCAAGGAGCAGGTATGTATGCAATATTTACTTTAAACGATCCATTTTGGGCCTCATTTTAGCAACACCATTAAACAGAGGATTAAAACTTTAAGCGTACAAATTTTCCCACTGATCTGCAAGAGTATGGATTATGCAGCTTGTCTGAGAAAGGTCCTTCCTCCAGCTAATTCCTGAATACAAACGGGACGAGAACAAAAACCAACCTAAAAAAAGTGCTGAATAAATACACATCACATGCTTTGTGCAGTATTTGCTGAGTTCTACCTACTTTTTGCGAAGCCAGGTACTCCATGCCTCTTGCCAACTGGTACGTGCATGACACTAAGTCCTTGAATGTCATCTGCTCTTCTGGTACCCTGTTAATATCAAACGAATATTCCATGCCTGGGGGGCGGCGTGCTCGCAGGTACTCACGCAGGTTTCCTTTGGAAGCATATTCTACTATCACGTACAATGGACCTTTGGATAAACAGAATCGTGTGAAAACTGGAGTGAGGTGGAAGGGTAAAATGTTTCGATGTAAAGAAGCTTTTAGCGCTCTATAATAAACAAACCGAATTAATAAATGTTTAACTGTGAAATCAGTAAGCACAGCTTGAAAGAAAAGGAGTCACTTTGGACTTGGTGAAGTGACTGGCCCAAAGCTCCATAGCAGGATAGCAGCAGAGATACAATTAGTGGCTGGAAGTGCCTAAACTCTGACCCGGTGCCTATGCCTTCCAAGACCATGCCATGTACTGAAAAGTAAGCGTTCTCAATCAAAAAATGCCACAAAATCTCGAATAAGGTGAAAGTGCTTCTTAAGATTTTCTTAATTTCCACAATTTTGTGCCAGTTTGCATTGCTTTACATGACATAATTAGCTTTTAATAAAAACACTGTAGTCTTTAGAAAGTAAAAGTGCTCATTTCAAATTCATGGGATATAAGTTCCACTAAAGCTGGACTGACAATTCAGAACAACAGGCATGGGTAAAGCCCCTGTAAAATGTTATTTTTTCCCTGCAGTATGGGATTAGAGTTTTCATATGATACAGTACCCTTTCTTGTACTCAAGCTGCAAGTATAATGAGAGACAGAAGTTAAAATATTGCTGCTAAGCTAGGGAAATATCTAAAAATCCCATCACGACATGACTGCTTCCTTCAAAACTCTTGAAAAATTATGATTAATGAGACTTTCGCAGACCTGTTGGAAAGTCCTGGTTTACTTTCTTTTTTCTACTCACCGTCCTGGGTACAGGCTCCAAGGAGATTGATGATGTTTTTATGCTTCCCAATCATCTTCATCATCTCCATCTCTGACACCAGGTCAGATAGATCTTTTTCTGTAGCATCATCTGTACAAGACACAGGTTCAGTTCATGTTTTCTAGCGTGCCAGCCTGAACTTCACTAAGGCTCACCAGCTGGTGTAAAACATGTGTGCACCGAAATGTAGAATACAGGATTCATTTTCCAGTATACACAGAACGTTATACAAAGTCATATGTTATGTCCAAAAAAAAAAACCAAACCATCTCAAGCTCTTTGATGGACTGACCACCTCTTCAGTGTTATATGTTAAGAAATAAAACAGTAACATCAGACATTAAAATACTGCCCTTAGCTATCAAGCCTTCAATAACTATGCCTTTCCTGCAAACTAACCTTACAATTAAATTGAAAATAAATAGGCACCAGACCACCTGGACTGAAGGAGCTAGGATCTACACATGGACAGACTCTGACATGAACTAAACTAAAAGCAAAGAGACCCACGCGATGTTAATACATCTCCTGGCTCCTAAATACTCACTGCTCAAGATAAACAGGCTGTCAAGGGCACAGATTTACACCCCAAACTGCTGACGGCTGAGGTCAGCTATGTGCTCTTTGACCCCCCCCATGATGACAGAGTTCAGATGCCACAAAAGAAACTTTTTGTGGATGAGAACCGCCACATCACCCATCCTGATCCCTAATCAGCCCATTTTCTTACCTTTCAACATCTTCACTGCCACAGTCACTGCTTCTTTTGGCCTGTCTTTGTCAATCCCCACCGCTTCGGCCATGACGACTTGCCCAAAGCAACCTTCTCCCAGGGGTTTACCCAGCGTCAGCCTAGAGGTGTAAACAAGAGATTAACACAGAGCATCTGGCGAAGGGATGCAGCCAGTGAAATTCCAGGGCTAAATATAAAAAGCTTTCAACAACTTGCTGTAGCACGAAGCATTCATCATATGGAACTAATGAGACTCTGGGTGCGCATCGGTTTTCATGCGCGCTGCAGTATGTTTTCCTAGGGATGGTACCACGAGCATCTCACATGGGCAGATCAGTTGCTAAACTCAGCTTTTAAGCTTTCCCTCTCCTTATATAATATATATAATACATAATAAGAGGCTGTGCTCAGTGAGTAAGCGGTGAGACACAGCGCAGAGAGGCTGAGCTTTCCAAACGCATCAGGCTGCAGCTGAACTTCAGGAGCAGTCAGCAACAGGAAAGCTTCTCCTGCCATTGTAACACGGATGGTCGCTGTCTTTTTTCACGTTGACTGCAAGGAGATGAAAGAGAAGCTTCTTTGCGTGCGTTGCCATGTGGTCTCTTTCAGGCAGCTGATGATTTGTGTGGCAAAGGGTGGTATTAAGAGCAGGGGGATGTTTTAAATATTATTAAGTCCTGTGATATAACAGCACAATGCAAGCGGAAAGGAAAAATCAAACATGCTCTCAGGCAGCTTAATTTTAGCTCAAAATGTCTTTTGTGGAGCATATACCTGGTTGCAAAACCTGCTCAGCAGTAACAAACAGATGCAGAGATGTCGATCTCAGCTTCAGCAGGATAAAGACATAAAATGAAAAAGAAACTTCAAAGCCCCTGGGCAGAATCTTTTCGGTTCCAGCTTAAGTGCTTAAGGGCCAGATTCAGGCCTCTTCCCTTGCAGAGAATATCATCCAGCTCCAGAAGCAGCACCATGGCAGAAATCAGCGAGGGTGCAAACGATATCCAGCGTAGGGGCCAGATTCTGATAAGTATTTTCATAACCAAGTTCTTACACTCTTGACCATGGTCAAAAGCAGGATTCACAGGTATGATATACGTAGGCACTTGGTTTTAAAAGCATGGACTTCTGTCTTCCTCCATGAAACACAGGGAGAGATTGTCATACCATCAACAGAATAGTGTTAGACCAGGGCTAAGTGGTTTGAAAATCCCGCTTATCTGCCCAGGCACAAGCCAGAAGCAAGAGGTGGTTCCTCCCGAGGGCAGCCCGCAGACTCCTTGTCAAACGCGGTCTGTGCCTCGGTGAGAATTCCTCAAGCTGTTTTGGATCAGTTTCTAAAGCAAACGCGCGTTTAAAAAGGTGCAAAGACTGAAGGGCAGCATATGCTATGCTGAGGTCATCCTGCGTTTTCTCCAGAACTAAAACTGAATTTAGGATCTTGGCAGAGAACAAACATTTGCATTGGAAACTGGTTAATTTATGTGCTATTGCCCTGCTAGGACTAAAGTAACAAACCCCTCATTGTGTGCCTCCTGCCCCCCAACCTAATAAACTGCCTCTAAATAGCCTCTTTTCATTGCAAATCTGCTCCACCTACATTTGTGCTGAATGCTGGTTTTAAATGTTTAGTACTCTAAAATTTTCCACGTTTAGTGTATCCCCTCAGGGTACGGGCTGACAGGAGTACGTATACAGGCCCCCACTGTTGACTAGAATACTGCAGGTGGCAATTACAGCATTCTGCACTAGTTTTCAGCTACATCATTAAAATAATATCCAGAACAGTTGTCAGAAGGTTCAAAATGACAGCTCTCCTCTCCAAAAGTTACAACGCTGAACTTTGAAAGAGAACCGTTCATGATAAAAGGTGTTATTTTCTCAAAGGCACCTGAAGACTTCTTAAAGTTAGTACTAACTTTAGGTAGAACCGTGATTATATCTTATGTACCTCTTTTACATGTCGTTTATATTAAGAAATATGCTTACAGTTTTAATTAGATTATTCAGCAGCTTATTTTGCACATTAGTCAACAGACTTAGAAGAAAATATTATGTAGCCATATGAATTTGCATATATATTTGCATATATCGAGATTCAGTATGCTTTGTTGAAACCTAACACTTTTAAGCCACAGAATTTATACATATATGTAAACAATATGCAAAGTGTCCCACTAAATCAAAAACCACCATCTCCATTAATACAGGCTAACACAAAATCAACACAAAATCCCACCCAGAAGGTCCTGACAGAAAGAAAAGATTGTCTAATACTATATTCTAGACTTTATCTCCTAGATGATATTTTATTACCTATTTTATAAATATTAAACAATTAAGTTCAATATTTCAACTAAGAAACATGGTTTAACACACAGAGGTATTGCTCGGGGAAATCTCAACTGCCCTTCAACAATGCTTGTACGTGGACATCTCTCCCAGTCTAAATCATATATGTTTTGAAATCACATTTCAGATTCACTCCTTTTGTAACAGAGGAGTTACATTTCAGCAGGGAATCTGAAAACCTACCAGAACTCTGAAAATAAAATCAGAACAATAGGCAGCGAAAATTCAGTTTCTATTTTAAAAAAGACTGATTTCTGATAATCTAATTGGCTCTTGATCTTCAGAGAAGGTTCAGGTAATTGAGATTTTCTTTAGTTCTAAAGAAACCCCGGGAAACATCAGGAAACATGTTTCCTCTCATACTGCGTTACGTATTTCAGACGTGCGTAGGCAGTGTTAAGAGAATCAGGCTACGTACTTATCTCTTGGAAACTCCCATTTTGGGTCTTCTGGCAATTCATACTCCGAGACTCCTGCCAGCATGGGGGCATCAGCAGTAGAGGACAGGCGAGTAGTTATCCTCACCAGAGGCGTGTTGGAATTCATGGAGGAGCTCGAGTCGGCTGACACCTGTTGTTGCAATACAAGATGCAAAAAAAAAAAAAAAAAGGTAGAGATGTAATCTTGACCCAACGTCTGAAAAACAGCAGTACCAGGGTAACCAAGCCAGCTCAGAACAGTGGTATTAGGAAAAAGGGGCTGAATCTACAGTTTTGTTTCTAGCGCCTTATTCTCATACATTTACCCTCCTTGTAAGCACAGTACTCCTTGCTGCCAAGGTTGTAATTCTGTCCCATAGGTTGAAAATCACATAAGTTTTAAATACATTCACTCAGAAGATAAATTAAATAAACTTTCCCTCAGTTTGTCTATCAAATTAATATTTTTTTAACCAACTGAGAGTATTTATATCACCAGATAACTAAGTGGACAGCTTATACTGTGAGCAGAGGTTACCAATAAGCTCTTTTCACTCACTCACTTCTAGTTGTCCATGTCATCGTTTCTTTTCCCAAATCAGCACACAATTTACTATTTTTTGGTGTTACTATTAAATTGAAATTTTCAATTTTTAATTGAAAAATGGTATTTTTGCAAAGGCTCAAGTACATCTCATCAGCACCAATGATCAAGATCATATGCTTACTACTGTGTAGCAAATGCTGGATTCTCTCACATATTTTCTAAGCGTTCAATACTGAAAGCATCAAGAAGCTATCACAATAATTGGGGGATATTTAAGCTTTCAATTGACTACATTCTTAATTAAAGATTCTGCAGACAATGTGGAGATAAGCTTATAAAAATTATTTAAGGTCCAATGCTTTAAAACATAATTCACTTTGGAGCATGATTTCTCATCGGCCTCAACAACAATACATTTTCCTTAGAGCATCAAAGGTGTTTGACGACAGCTGCTTTGAAAGAGGAAGCAGCTATTCTATCCAGGTAACAAAACTTGGTGTGAATGGTGTATCTTCCATGAGGCTCTTTTCTCAAATCTCCTTCTCTCTTCAGGCCATTAAGTCTTGGCCAAGCCCGAATCTGGTGGCCCAATGCAGGAAGAAGATTTCACAATGCCATCCTCACATCCGGCATCAGGAGGTGCTTCTTGGCCAGCATCGTTGGGCCCCTGCCTGAGCTGGAAGCCTGGGGCATCAGAATAACTGCCACTCTCAACCTTCACCTTCATCTTCACCACCTGGAGTCAACTTTGAGACCAGGCTTGCTTATGTAAAACAACCCCCATTTTTTTATACGTGTCTTATAGCTGGATAAAAAAAAAAAGCAATTAGAAGCAAACAGATCCTAATAGTATTAATGTGCAAATCTGACACACAGTGATAGCAACACAAAGTCTTCTTGTCTCTATGACAACTAGTAAGTCCAACTTAGTGCTCCCTTATTTTAAATCCAATTAAAAATTAACACTGTCTCAGTCCACAGAATTACTGCAGCTCCTCAGAACAGGGCTAAAAGGCTTGTGCAAATCATGCTCTTACACAATGCATTTTGATAAGACAAGGCTAAGGTGCTCAAACAAATTTCTTATCACAACTCTGACCACCTGTTGTGTTTGAGAGGTCTTTTTGCAGATTGACATCCTCAAACCCATCTCATCAAATGGGCTGGGCTTCTTGACACATTTTTCTAAGACCAGAGATTAAAACTGGAAAGAGGTTTCAAAAGGAAGAAAGTGTTAAGAATTGCCATCAAGAAATTAACCTTGGTAACCAGTTTGGCAGCTGACAGACCTTTCTTGATATCAGAAGCTCCAGCTTCTGCCTGCGAGATGCGGTGTCTATGGAACAAGAGAGTATAACTGCACAAATAAGGCTAACGTTTAAAACAGAAAGGTGGACCGCCTTCTCCCTCATTCATCCCACCATCACGAATGTTAATATTTACTTTCAGCAAACATAAGTACCTGGCACATTCCTCTAGGATACTATACGGTGACCACTTGGGATACAAACAGAAAACTACTGTTAAGGCAGATCATGTAGCTCTAAATAAATCAGCAAGTGAATACTGAACAGAGCTCTTCGAGAGAGATGCTGTCACGCCCAGCATGCCTGCTGGAGCTGCATGGCAAACCAGCATGAGAACCAAGGCTGCAACTAGACTTTTGCTTATTTTTTTGCTCATTTTAATATTTCATTATGGTTTAAAATTGAGGCTTCATGAAAGGAACCAGCTCAGCACTAAGAATCGTGCAAATCTCCACAAACAATGCGACAACGCCTCTATCCTCCACAACTTCCCCTGAATTTCATTCTTCTGTTATTTCTGGTTTCTATTTTTAAACCTCTCACCACAAACCTGCTAATAGTCTATGACCACTTCCTCCATATTTCCAAAATCCATTCACTATTCTCCAGCCATTCTACCAAGACCTTTATTCAAGTATTGATTCTTATTTATTTATTAACATTGCCTTTACTTTCTTTGCCATTATAGCCATTGTTTTCATGGGACATCAGGAAGGCATGGAATTGAAACTTCAAAATTTAGATGATATCCTTTATGTATCAGAAACAGCCCAAAAATGTTCTATGGGTTGTTTTTCATTAATATAATATTTGTATTAGACACTGTTCAGCTGTCTGCCAGAGTTTCATCTTTTCGCTAGCTCTTGCGCTCACAATTCAGCAGTCTTAGCATGGTTAAAACCTATAAATGTAAACTTGCAATAAACTGAAATACTCTGGTGATGCATTTCAAACACAGAAGTTAAATAGTAATAATGTAGAGGAAAAACAGATGAAAGAATCTGCCAGTTTCCCTTTTAATGCTACTGCACATGTTTACTTCACACAATAACCAGATGATTGGCTGGAGATGCTGTAGGTAACCAAAGTGCATTAACATGGACAGAATGATGAGAAATCCAGAGGAACTACTCAGTGCCTGGGAGAAGAAAAATGGACTGCACTCCCAGGGAATAGTCATCTCATTGATTAACTGGAGCAGTACGAGGAGTTACAGGAGCTCAAGGGCTATAAAAGTCCGCTCCCGAAAAGACAAAGCCAACCCAGGCTGGCTTGTGATTGGGGGAGATTTTCTGTTTCAAAATGGCCTTTCACCTTTTCTGCAATAGTAAAGAATTAACCTTTGAACTCATCTCTTAAGCATCTTTTCTCATTGCCTTAGAGTGCACTATAAAACAATGAAGAAAACTACCTACTCCAAGGTCAGGAGACTTGGTTAACTTTAATCTACATGCATACATTTAAGTAACAGCATATAGAAAGCCTTTTTCCAGCTTGCTGCTTTCCCCTTTTCACCTGCAACACTGCTCTCCAACCCCTTACCATGCAGGTTCAAGAGTCAGTGACACTCCTGCCATGAACCTCCACATTTCAAGTATGTGGATGCTCTTTCTGCTTTCAGTTATGCAAAGAATCAAGCACACAGGCATAACAGAGGCCATACTGAGTTTTTGCAGCAAGGTTGTTCACTGTACAGGGTCAATATACAGACTACGGGGTGACTTTTTGGGTCGACCAGGTGCCAAAAAGCAGCAGCTGAACATCTAATCAAAACGCATGAACTTCTTGGGCAATCACCCAGCTCACCAACAAGTGCTGTTCAGAGAACAAAGCAGAGCCAGGGCAGAGAAGCAAGGAAGGGCACCTGATGCAGGCGAATTAGACATCTTCTAGGTCTACTCACTGTGTTGGTGACACCTATTTTAAGTGACAACACTACACCAATGAGGTATTTTGAGTGCTTAATTAAAGCAAGGAAGGCAAAAGTCAGCTTGACTTGAGCAAAACACTGAAAGGACTACTGTGGTATATGTTAACCTCAACAGGAAGGTAGACCTCCGCCATAAAATAGTCTTTGTATGCTTCCTTTCTGCTTTGTAGGAGGCCAGAAGCAGGAAAAGTACCAGCCTCCAACAGATCTTTAGCTCCATATCTGCACTTCAGAAGGAGAAAAGCCCACTGTGTCCAAACCTCACGCACCAATGCATTATTATATCCCCATTTCAACAACATATTTTTCCTTCGGCCAACACACTGTATTTAATCAGCTCTGAGATAATGCTTTACAAGCATTTCTAAGCAGTGGAGCATTTAAAACAAACAAATCTTTGCTGGAATCTTTAAATGCCATGTGGCAAAATCAGCTGCAGAGCAGTGTGTAATTGTCTGTAATTGATTATGAAGGGTGTTTTTCTCCACTGATGATTTATACCATATCCCGAAGCCTAGATCTGTCAGTTCTGGCACTCATGCTGTGAGATTTTAGCAGCCATGCAGTGATTTCCTATAATTGTCAGTCTTTTTGAAGGCTCTGCTATAAAAGTTAATTTGAAGTCATATGCATATCTGCATATAAATATAATTGGTAAGTAATGCTATTAGCTGCTGATAGAGATGATCCATCTGAGTGACTGGATCTAGGAAAATAGAAGGTTAAATGCATGAAATATGGTTAAATACATGAAACGGAGGATTCCTAACGTAAATACTGGTGTTTAAAACACGAGCACACAAG